TTTTTTTTATGTTGGCATTTCTACAAGTACAAATAACTAACAATTTAAGTCCTTTATACTGGTTGAACTAGTGGTTGGTCTAGTGGTTAAAGCTCCAGGATAGAAACCAGGTAACTATGAGTTCTAGTCCCGCCTTAGGCATGAAAGCTGGCTGGGTGACTTTGGGCTGATCACTCTCTCTCAGCCCACCACTTCAGGCTCAGGTGCAAGCCAGTTGGTCAATTCCTGTCACAACCAATGGATCAATATTTGGTTGATCTGGGGGGGAGCAAACCCTGCACCTGCAGGAAAAATGCTAGGAAGAAAAAATATATATTGGCTGAAACTGAAGACTTTGAATTCTAAATTCTAAAGACAAAAATGAATTCCTTCTGTAAAAACAAAACCAGGGGAAAATAGTTCAATTATAGTTTGTGGATGAGGAATCCTAGTCAATTATCTGATTTCTTTTGGACTGTAATGACTTCATTAATTAACCAAGAGAACATAACAGGCCCTTTCAGAATTCATAGCGCTGTAAAGAACTAAAAATGTATATATAGAAAGGAAAAGGCATCCAACAAATAAGTAAATGGTTTGTCTCCATGTACACATTAGCAATTTTTTTCAGCTATGTTTGCCCACTTGTTAAGTTCTATAGATCTTATTACATATATTATTCTTAATATAAGAATGCTTATTTAAGGAAAAAAAATTGATTATTTTCACTGTAAAACCACAGATAACTCCTCCAAGTTGAATCACAAGCTGCTTTTGAATTCCCCAATGTCCAGATTTTTATAATAGGTCTTGGTACAATGTATTATTAAAATAGTACTTGATGGAATATGTACAGTCCCTATTTCCTTAAAAAAAAATAAAAAAAGTTTTAAAATATTTCATGCTAATCCAAATGTATGCAAATACAACCAATGAAAACACAATATGTATAATTAACTAAGTTCTCTCTCTCTTTTTTCTTTAAGTGGGAGATAATTTAATACGCAGCATGAGTAAGGACTGCTCTAGACATTTTATTGCCAGGAAAAGCTCCATGAGCAAGTTGCTATTGCATATGATACCAAAGTGGACATAAGCAGTTTCTCTTTTCTCTCTAGCCAAACTGATTAGGAACCAAAGAGGCAGAAGTGGGCAGATCCACCCTTGGTGTTGTCAGTTATTTTCCATATTGTGTAAAGAAAAGTCTTCATAGCTGTTGGCACTTGTCACCCTTGAAATGAAGTTGATTGGCATAATTTTTTAAAACTGTCAATATATAAAATCCTTATCAAGACACTAATTTTCTTCATAATTGAACATCCTGTGGTATGGCATATGCATGGATAATTAACTACTAGTAAATAGGCTTTACAGCAGAAAAAAAGGAGTAAGGTGCAGATAATGCAAGTAAATGGAAACCAAATTTAGACTATAGGTAGAAAGTCAAAAGCCAGAGCTTCTGGATAGCTTTCTTTGCAATACCACACAGCCCATGTACATGGGTAATTATAGACAGGAAAATGAGGGGTCTCCATGTTCAGAAAATATATGGGCCCAGGGAGATGTTATTCAGGCAATAGGGATCACTGGATGCAAACTTGCCCAGAAACCCAAGAAGATAGCAAGGGATGCGGGGGGGGGGGAGGATTATTGGTTGTGAGAATTAAGACAGG